AACTCTTAATTTTATATTTTGCCATATATGTTAAATATATATTTTTATTTATTTCCATGTATATATGAAAATGTATTTTCAAATACTCTTATCATTCATTTATTACTTTTTTCAAAAGAATAGAGCTTTCAAAGTATAATCATTCAAAGTTAACATAAGCAGTTTATTTCTTGCCCCATTTAAGTTTTTATAAGTGTTTCACATTTGGGATGATGTGACAAAAATGGGTTAAGATAAAATCATAAACTGTTCCTCTGAGACAGTTCTTCTTAAAAGATATAAGCACTAAAGATATAACTGTCCCTCTAAACACTATTTATGTGGTCCTTTTATGTAGCTGCTTCAGAAGCATCCCACAAATTTAAAGCATTGTTTTCTTCTTCTTTTAATTGAATTTGTTCTTTAATTTACTTTGTAATTCCTTTGACATATAGCTAAAAATAATGTTGTTTGGTTTCCAAATATTGATTTTCCAGATACCTTTTCATTAATTTCAAGATTAATTTCATTGTTGTCACAGAATATATCTGTGATATTTTGATCTTTTAAAATTTGTTGAGATTTATGATTTGACTCATAATATGGTCTATAATGGTTATGTTAGTTTTCCATCACCATATCAAATAACAGATAATCAACTTATACAAAGCAAAGGTTTATTTTTGCTCACAGTTTTTAAGGTTTAATTCTATGATTGGCTTTGTTGATTTGGGACTTGTTATGAAGCAGCATGGCTGAGTAAAACTGTTCACCTCAAGATGAAAAGTAAAAGAGAGGAAGAGGAGATATTTGAGGTCCTACACTCCCTTTCAGTGGCTTAATGACCCAAAGACTTCCCACTAGGTCCCACCTCTTAAAAATTTTCAACAGCAAGCTGGGGAACAAGCATTTAGTTCAGAGTTTGGGGGGATATATACACTATAGCACTGGTGAATATTTTGTATGCCCTTTGGGAAAAGAAAAATATCTTCTGCTATTGCTGGGTATAGTGTTCACTAATGTCAGATATGGTACTTTGGGTGATAGTGATTTAAAGATGTCTGTATATGTACTGATATTGTTGTGGGCTTGTTCTATCAATTACTGAAAAAAAAAATTTGAAAATTAAAATCACAGTTTGTCTATTTTCAATTCTATGTTTTAGTTAATATATTTTAAACATTTCTTGCTAATAAACATATATTTATGGTTGGATATTGTGTTAGTATTTTTTTACTGAAATCAAAATACCTGAGAAGAACAACTTAGAGGAGAAAAATTTATTTGGGACTCATGGTTCATAGGTTTCAGTCCATGACTCCATTGTTCTGGGCTTGAGGTGAGAGAGAACATCAGGGTGGACTGGCGTGGTAGAGGAAAGCTACTCAGCTCATGGCATCAAAGAAGCAGAGAGAAAGAGCAGCCAGGGACAAAATATAATCCCTAAGGGGTTCCCCCCACAGTGAACTACTTCCGCTAGCCACATCCCACTTGTGACAGTTAGTACTTACTACTCAATTCAAATTATTAATTCATCAAATGGATTTATCTACTGATTAAGTTACAGTTCTCAAGATCTAATTAATTCACCTCCTACATTGTCCAACATGAGCTTCTGGAGGGATAACTCAAACCATGACAAATGTCTTCTGCATTAAACAAGACTATATCATTATGCAATACTACTGGTTATTCTTGGTAATATTTCTTGTTTGGAATGTACCTCATGAATATTAACATAACTAATTTTAATTAGTATGTGCCTGATGTATTTTTTATTTCAATTTTCTTGCTTTTAACTGATTTCTCTTTATTCTAAGGGAATGTTTTATAGACAATATAGAATCAGTTCTTGCTCTTGTATATAATGTAAACATTTTCTATCTTTTAATAAAACTAGAGTGTTGAGATACATTTAATATAATTTACATTTAACATAATCATTGATATATTTGCATTTAAAACTACAATTATTTTGCTTATTTTCTGTTCATCTTCACACTTCTTTGACCTTTTCTCTTTTTCTCTATTCTTTTGCAAGAGCTACATATTTTTTAATGAATTCATCTTTTGACTACAACATTTTTTTAAAAATTGTAGCTAGTTTGGATTGGTTGGATATCTTATCACAGTTTATCTTCTAGTAATTTTAAACCACTCTACATGTAGCATAATAATTTTATAAAAGTATACTTCTATGACCTTTCTTCCCTGCTTTATCATTCATCACTTATATGATTTTTACATATTTGCATATGCTATCAATTCCTTAAACTGTAAAACTTATCTACTCACATTTGACCTTTTTACCCTTCTGTTTTTGCTTATATTTAATTTTTCTCATCTGTTATCATATTCCTTCTGCCTAAAGAATATCCTTAAACATTTTACAGTCACTGGAATTTTTCTGCTTTTCTTTGTATAAAAAAAGACTCTTTTCCTTATGTAATAAAAATCATTATGCCTTCATTTTTGAAAAATATTAAATGTGTATATAATTCTAGATTGATTCTTTAAGGATTTTTAAGACAATTCCCTCTATTGTCTTCATGTGTATGTAGTTTCTAAAAAGAAGTCTGCTATAATTTTTTTTTTCTTTGCTAACCTTCTAAGTAAACTTTCTTTACTCTCAAACTGCCTTGTGTTACAGATAATGACCAATTTCAAAAATATTTGTGATCTCTAAATTTTCACAAATATACTTAATCACAGTCATTCATAAGTAGTTTTGATCTTCATGTAGTACAAAAGCACTCTTAAAATAAATTACTTACCACAAAAATGTACATAAATGTGATAATTACAAATGTGACAGACTTGTTCTACATCTTTCAATATGATACACTATTAATTTCAATATTTCTAATTAGCAATTCCAGTTGAATTCACAAAGAAAATATCACTGAGATTCCTGACTATTTTTAAGATACTTATTTGAGTATCAATTATATTAGTTGTTTAAAAGTGATGGAAACTGATTCCTTTGATAGTATCAATTTTTATTTTCTCATTGAATGTATATACCTCTAAAAATAAGGAGGAATTAATAAATTTATTCTTATAATATAGTCATACCCTTGATCTTAAACATACAAGGCTGAAGCTATGTGTAAGTCAAAATTGAATGTTTTGCTGTTTTTTTTTTTAACTCAGTGGCTTAAAAACAAAGATTTACTTATGATCATGCTGGATGTCCACTGCAGGTTGGCTGACCATCTGCTCTATATCATAAACTCCACAATCCCAAACCAGAGCAACTGACAATACCAAGTCTAACATCAAAGAGGTGGCAACACAGTTCTGAAATATAACCCAGTTACTTCAGTTAAATTTATTTATATACAAAAATTTATCTGCTCAAGACTGACTCTTTAAATATAATCCCCTGCAATTTGTTATTGCCTAATCTTTTATCACATGACAACAAGATAGAGATAATTTTAAAAAAAACTCAAATTAATTAAACTGAATACTTTTCAGAAACTCCAGGAAATGTATGTCAGAATAACAGCTGTCAAGACTATCATCTAAACTGAAAATTTGCAATTACGCATGTGTTTTGATTCCTGATGGCATCACAGACCTCTGTGAAGATAGTAAAGTAGCGGGAAGCTGTGGCACACGCCTATGATCTCAACTGCTTGGGAGGCTGAGGTAGGAGGACTGCAAGTTCAAAGCCAGCCTCTGTAACTTAGTGTGGCCCTAAGCAGTTAAACAAAATCCTGTCTCAAAATTAAAAAAAAAAAATTGAAATTAAAAAATTGGCTTGAGATGTTCTTCAATGTCTAAGTACCTCTGGGTTCAATCCCAGCTACAAAATAAATTAAAAATTTAAAAGTTTTTTTAAAAGATGGTAAAGTAAATGGTATATTTAAACCATAGAAATATTAGACAATGTCAAGTTAATCATTTAATCTTTCCTATTCAATTCAAAACTAAGTATTTAATATAAGAATACAGTAATATACTTTTTACTTTTATAAGGATCACAGTATTTTTTCTTCTTCAGTTTGTCCTTTTTCTAAGAGAGTAGAATTTACAGTTTTTTTCTTATTACTTATGAATCAGTAATTGTTAAAAACCTAGGGGGAGAGTGTCAGTAGCCAGAAAAATCTGAGTGTACATGCCATTCCAGTATCACTGATTACTATGTAAAACATGCATCCACCATTTCTCCATCTTTCATAGTTTTCCAAAGGCTGTTGACTTTATAGAATTCATAGCATGGCAATCATTCTTATTACCTTGTTATAGGAATTTAAGACATGCTGCTAACTTTGTGAAGTTTGATATATTTTGTTCATATTCACACATATGTACACATATACTCTTACATATATAAATATATAAACACTCAAATAAGTGTTACTAGTAGTAGGATCCTCCATTGTAGCTTTTGAAGTCCTGAAAAAATATAAACAAAACTAAGACCAATTTAGCTGGCAGATCACAACATATTTTCTTGATCTCAGAGTATTTATCAGATCACAAAGCATCTATGCCTTACCCACAGGGGGAAACTTTCACAAGCTTTGAAGGATAAAGAAATATTCTATAATATCTGATTCAATTTCCTTCTAAATCAGCCCCTCCTACCACTATAACAATGCAATATTTTTAATGTATAGATCAAGACATTGAAAGAGAAGCTAAAGAAAGGGTTGTTATTTTCCTTTACAGGGATATTATTGTCATGATTTAGACATGAGATGTCCCCCAATAGCTCATGTGTAAGACCAAACAACAGAGTTTGTAGGAGAATGGGTTATGTAAGCTTTAGCTTAATTAGTATATCACTCCATTTGAATGGATTAACTGGATGGTGACTGTAGGCAGGTAGGGTGTTGCTGGAAGAGGTAGGTCCCACTGGGGACATGACTTTGAGCGAAAAAAAAAACCAAAAAAACAAAAAACAAAAACAAAACAAAACAAAACAAAAAAACTTTTCCTCTTCTTTTTTTTTTTTTTTTTTTTTTTTTATTTTTTTCTTTAGATTTTATTAAGTCATAAATGTACAACAGCTTCTTAACTCTACACATGCACTTATTTTTTTTAAAGGAAAACGTTATGTCTTATTACATCATGATCCTGGCTAATAGCTTTTCAAAACTTTGAGAAAAATCTTAAAGTTTTCACGTCACCTGAAACTTTACAAATTTAACATTATCAAAGAAGGAATGCTTCTACACTTACAAAGAACCGCTAGAAAGTAACAACAATTAAAAAGCTAAGTAACTGTCTCAAAGGCTTTTATTATTTTTATTTTCTACAATCCTTCCCCCACAGTAAGGTAATGTTATTAAATAATCTAATCCATTCCCAAAATGGCTCTCTGCCATCTGCTCTGGTGTCTTCTGCCATATCATTGCATATTTATGCATGACTGAGATAAGAGTTTCCTTAACATTGTTATTATTTCGATAACCTGAACTGTTCAGTTACCTTTGAGCTCTCATCCTCTCCTATTTATACAATGAAGCTCAAGGCAAATAGGATGAAGCTCAGTATCAGCTCCTCCCACCAGAACCCTCACTTCCTCCAGGACCTTAATTTCCTCTACCACGGGGTCGCCCCATGTTCCTGCTACCCAAGTTTCCACTCTTCAATAGACTATATTTAGAAGGTTGCTGGTTACAATTTCCAAAATCATTATGACTTCCACTTCCATAATTTCCTCCTCCAGAGTTGTCATAACCACCTCCATAGCCCCCACCCCGTTTTCCATATCCAGATCCTCTACCACCATAGCCTCCTCTTCCTCCTCCATAACCAGGGCTACCTCCAAAACTGCCACGTCCAGGTCCTCCTCCAGATCCATTAGAGCCATCCCCAAATCCACGTCCGCTTCCATATCCATCAGATCTTCCTCTAAAGTTGCCTCCTCTTGCACTCCTGGAACTTTGGACTTTTTGCATTTCTTGTCTAGACAAAGCCTTTCTTACTTCTGCGTTATGACCATTGATGGTGTGGTATTTTTGCAATACAATTTTGTCCACAGGATCAGGGTCATCAAAAGTCACAAAACCAAAGCCTCTCTTCTTTCCAGACTGCCTATTGGTAATTATCTCAATGGTGTCAATTTTTCCATATTCTTTAAAGTAATCTCTAAGGTGGTGTTCCTCGGTATCTTCTTTAATTCCGCCAACAAACAGCTTCTTCACAGTCACACGGGCCCCTGGTTTTCCAGATTCCTCTCTTGCTACAGCTCGTTTTGGCTCAACCACTCTCCCATCAATTGAATGAGGTCTTGCAGCGATGGCAGCATCAACCTCAGCCTTGGATGAGAAAGTTACAAAACCAAATCCTCTTGATCTTTTGCTTGCAGGATCCCTCACAACCACACAATCTGTAACTTTTCCCCATTGCTGGTAGTAGTTTCTTAAACTTTCTTCTGTGGTTTTAAAACTTAAGCCACCAATAAAGAGTTTACGGAAGTGTACCTTTTCTCTCTCCATGGCGGACTCAGTCGCTTCAGCCCGATTTCCCGCAGGCAAGTGAGATAAGAGAGATCTCTGCAGACAAACACCAACCGGACTCGTCCTGGCGCTGTAGTGAGAACTGCTGCTGAAGAGCACCTCCACACAGGACCCGCGCTGCTGCTACTGCTGCTGCTACTGCTGCTAAAGAGGCTGCCGTTCTTTTTCTGTCCTCTTCTAAAATTGTTCTTGCCAGGTCTTTTGGTCACAGTGATTAAAAAAAAAAAAAAAAAAAAAAGCTGACTAAAACAATTATCAAAGTCATTGTTTTTTCTTAGGAATTTTTTATATTCCATGATAGATTATAACATAGCCCCCTAATAATAATAAAAAATAATAAAAATATGTCAGGAATATCAGAAGACTGTGATATTACCCACAATCTTTCAGGTTCTCTACTGAAGTTAAAATTCTTCAAGATACCAAAACATTGAGTTCTGGGGTAGGTGTGGCTCCCTTGGTTACGAAAGCTCTCTTGTACAGCCAAGTCTCATTAAAAAAATAAATTAAAAAAAGCTTGTGGATTCTTGTATTAAAAGGGAAGGAGTGTATAACCAAAGTGAGTAGGGTGCAGATCCTAAACAGGAGCAGAAATTAGGAACCCATGGTGATATTCTATCACAAATTTAACATGTCATATTTACATACAAACGGAGAAGTTTAGCATTGACTTTTAAAAACTATAAAAATAACCAAGGATTATTTGTAAACATGTTTCTCTTCCTCATTGTTTTGAGAAGAGGGTACAATACAAACTTTAGTATATCTTACTCATAATAGAAAATCATGATACATGTAAATCTCATGCTTCTAACTAGAAAAAAATACTTTCCCCTTTATATTGAGCTTAGTCTCATTTTCCCAAGAACTTCCATAATCTATACATCCTCAAAATCCAGAATTCATCAAGTATTTTAAGTTAGATAAATTATATAACTTTTACAGATGCAATGTTATTATTTTCCCTTCTTATGCCTAAATCATCAGAAACATAATTACACCAAAAAAAATAGGAATGGAAATTCCAGAAACCTTTTCCTTTGACAACTGACAAGGTTATTTTAATAATAAAGGCAAACCTGTTCTAATATGAGGATTGAATCAGTAATTCAAAATTTCTCAAAAAAGAAAAGTCCAGATCCACATGGATTCATTGGTGAATTTTACAAAATATTTAAAGAAGAAATAATATCAAACCTTCCCAAACTCTTTCAAACTTTGACAAGGAGGGTGTACTTTTAAACTCATTCCCCTGATACAAAGTCAAACAGATTCCACAAGAAAACTATAAGCAAGTATTCCTGGTTAACATAAACACAAAAATCCTCAATAAAATACTAGAAAATAGAATTAATATACCATGATCAAGTAGTTTATTCCTGAGATGCAAGGATGGTTCAACATACAACTATCAATTAATGTAATACACCATTTAATGGAATGAAGGCTTAAAACCATACTATCCTCACATTACATAGAGAAAACCATTTGAGAAAAATTCAACAAACTTTTATGATAAAAACTCAACAACCTAGGAATAAAAGAAAATTACATAGATATAATAATGGTCACAGCTGAGAGGTTCACATAGCTACCCTACTCAAAACTGAAAGCTTTTCCTCTAAGACATGAACAAAGCAAGGATGCTCTCTTTTATCATTTCTCTTTAATAAAAAAAAAAGAACTAGACGTTTGAACCAAAAGAATTAGACAAGAAAAAGATACAAAATGCATCCAAATCATAAAGCAAAAAAATACAATTTTCTCTTTCCAGATGACCTGACCTGATCATATAAGCAAGAAAACACTGAAGACTCCACCAAAAAACCTTGAAACTGATAAACTAATTTGGGGGACACAAAATCAATGCACAAAAATCGGTTCCATTTATATACCAATAATGAATTATCTGAAAAGGAAATTAGAAAAAAAGTTTTCATTTACAATAGCAGAAAAAATAAGAATAAACTTAACTGGACAGGTGAAAGACATGTATAGTATAAGCTGTAAGAGATGGATGAAGTCTGCTCTGTAAATGAGAAGTCCTGGCACAGGATGGTTGGGCTTTCTCTGTTCAGGGTCTCAAATCAAGATATCCCAAGCTGTTTTCACATCTGCTGCTTAGAGTTCTCTCCCAAGCTCATACAGGTGCTAAAAATGAGCTTGTGTCTTCAGGACAGAGGTTGCTTTTCTTACTGGTTGTTGGCTAGAGGATATTCTCAGCCCCTGGAAGGCTCTCTCAGGTTGTGCTACATGGCCCTCTTCATCTTCAAAGCCAGCAGAATCCCCCTCATCTCAGATATCTCTAATATTTGTATCTCTGACTTTTTCTTTGTGTGTGACTTCTATATCTAGACTTAAAAGGCTCATATTATCAGATCAGGCCCAAACAAATAGTCCCCCTTTTGCCATTTAACATGATGCCAAGAGTATATCTCATCATATTCACAGGGAAATTGTACAAAGGCATGAGTCACTGGGTATTATCTTATAATTCTGCTTATCACACAAAACATAGGGACTCATATAAAGTATAAACAATTTCTCAAAGAAGGTAAAAGATTTTCCATGTGTAACATCTCCAAAGTATTTGTCAATTGGAACATTTGACTTTTCCAAATAAGACCTTTAAAGCATACATTGATTATAACCCTGTTTTCCAGCACTCTCAACTACCTTACATCCTCAGTGACAGATTCCATGTGTAAGTTCCTGCGAGTTATATACTGTCGTGTACAACTAAAAATAAATAAACATAATAAATAAATAAATATAAAACAAACACCGAGTGAAACAACAGCTTTTAGTAAAAGCAGCACAACCACACTCACTATTTATGATGTTTTTATCAGGACATAACTTCACAAAGGTCAAGTAGCATCTGTATAAATTGGTTTTTCAACTCAGTTTCTGAATCCTGTATCTATTGTACGAACATGTTTTATGTGTAATAAAGCTGCATATCTCTATATCAGTCCACAAGGACTAAACAAAAGAGAGATTAAGTATTTTATGTTATATAATCTGGTCTGGTGCACACTAATACAAAACACAGATTGCCACAGCATGTCTCTCCTTAGTTTCAATCTTCATCTTCAAATATCTTGCATAGAACCCTCTATTTTACAAAATGAAGCAGCACTAGGATTGGCCACTAGATGGCAAACAATTACACAGGGAAACAGTAATAGTAAAAAATATTTTCCAGTATTATAGATTTTGTTAGAAAGAGAAGGCAGAGTTTGTTTTACAAATAAAACAAATACCAAAAAATCCTAAAACACCATAAAACTTTATCCAGAAAATAAAAACCTTTTCAAATTCCTATTACCTTGCAATTAGGTATGAGAGAACCATGATGAAAGAAAGAAGGGAAAGAAGCAACGGAGAAGGAAAAATAGAGGAAGAAAAATGAAATGTTACATGAAGAAAATTCTTCTTCATTATAGGGATTAAATAAGAGGCTTGTAATTATTCACCACTAACATGAATAATATAAATATATGGCATAAGTAGCTCTGACAGTAAACTTATCTAGATTATAAAGTACTCTAATCTCTTACAAACAATAGCTCCACCTAGAAAAGCTATATGAACATATAAAGAACGCATATTCAAATATGTAGTAGTTCAGTGAAAGATAAATAAAATGTTGGTGGTGGAGCTGATTACTACAAGAAATCACCAATTTAAAGTTTTGTGAACCAAAGCTAAATCAATTGCTCTATTATATGCAATAAACATATTTATAGTCAATATTCTGAATATTCATGTAAACAAATAAGAAAAAGTGGGAAAGGAGCAAAAAATTTGAGCAAACATTTAATACCCCCCTCCCAAAGAAATCAAATAGCATGCTGGTAGAAGCATAAGAGAAGCACAGGGTAGATGGATAAGTAAATTTTCTCTTTATTTATAAGAATATAAATTAGACCCAAGCCTACTGAGATCATCTGGGAACATGTACCTTTAAACCATTCATCATTTACTCAGAAAACCCACTTCTAGAATTATACGCTAAGAAAATAATTAGACAAATATACAAAATCATCTGTTAAAAGGCTCACCATAATGTTATTTGTTATACCCCAAATTGGAAATTACCTAAAAGTTTACCATGTAAGAATTAAAACTAAACAAGGCCATATCCATTCATACCATAAAATATCATGCAATCATTATAATTGTGTTATAAAAGAATAATCCATAACTTGGAAACCTACTTATAAAAAATTGCTAAATGAAAAAATTTCCAAAACAAATATGATCTCATTATTACACATAACCATACTACATATAAATATGTGTGTATGGATATATATATATATATATATCCATACATATATACTATGTAGACATAAGTAATATATATGGATACAAATAATATATTTCTAAATTTTGCTAATATAGATCTGTGATGTACATCAGTGCATATAAATCTTTGCCTTATTTTCTCGTAATTTCATTTAAGCATATTCCAAGTTGTAGAATAACCAAAGAATGAAGATACACATTGAATATTATAGTTTGTGATCTAGAGTAGTCCTATAAGTGAAAACTCTTTATTCAAACCAACGAAAAATTAATCTTTCTAAAAATTGATTTTTTGCACATGTGCATCCTTAGAATTATTTCTGAAATATTATCTCAAAATGTTAAAATTTATTATGTTCTAAAAAGTATAGTGAATTTTCCTAAAGTATTAAATTAGTGTGAATATCCTTTTCATCTTCTAAAATTTCTAGGTTCAAAAATGCTTCACATATGTATGATAAAAGTAAAATCTAAGCCAGATTCCTAAGTCCCTAAATCTCTTCTCAATGACATTTTTAGAATTTTAGACATTTTCTAGAAGAAATAATTGTTTAATTCTTTTCAACCCCAAAAGGATATTGTGCATCTAACACCTAACATCATCATGTGATTCCAGTGGTTTCATTTTTATCTGTTTTCATATTTTTATAGAAGCAAAGCACAAAAATACTTTTCTTAGCTGCTCCAATGGCTCCCAAATTTTCTTGGTGAAAACTAACTTCACTGGCTTGGAACTGTCACTGCACACCAGTAGCTTTGCTGCCAAAGACGTCAGTCTTGATTTGGAAAGAAGTAGGGATACTTGCCATTGAAAAGTTGTAAACCCTG